TCACATTTCTCATTCCTGAAAATCTGTTATAGACACAGGTTCAGTTGTCTTCACTGCTAAGTATCTTCTGCTTTGTGAGGGATGAGTACACCAGACAAAGGCAAGAAGCAATACTGGCTGAACATGAGCCAGCTTGTGCCCAGGCAGCCATGGTGGCTGTTCCAGGGATTGAAGGATTCCAGGTGGAGAAGGAATTTAAGCCACAAATATACACCACAAAACTACTGGAAAGTTTATTACAAACTCTAAACCAGATGTAAAACCCAGAGACTAATCCCAAACCAGAAAGAGAGAGAGCTAAAGGCTCCGAAAGAACAGATCAGGCACAGTTCTTACCAACCTACACATTTGTTCAATGACCAGGAGGCCAGCTCCAAGGTGCATTGAGAGCAAACTGGGTGGCAGGCACTACTTGGCGGGCGTCCCCGTGAAGGTAATGTTGGCCATAAAGCTAGTTGGATCCATCTCCCTGGTCTTCTTCTCTCCTCCTCCTTTCTTCTTCTCTACTCCCAATCTTTTTCAAGCCCCAGGCCTTTTATATCCCCGAAAGTGCCAACTTATCCCGATGCAGGGGTCAGCCCTGTGTCCCAAGGAGTGGCCCTGCTGGCTTCCTTTTCCCGTGCGCATTTGTCCTGACACAGGGGCTCAGCCTGTGCCAGGAGGAGTGGCCTTGCCGGCTCCCCGCCGTGCACACCCACTCCAGGTAATTGGGGGTGGTCCACCACAGACCAATTTTTACTGTGTTAGACCCCATCCAACAGTGGCCAACAGCATCCTGGCCTTCATCAGCAATAATGTGGTCAGCAGGGCCAGGGCAGTGGTCATCCCCTTGTACTCAGCACTGGTGAGGCTGCACCACAAATACTGTGTTCAGTCTGGGCCCCTCACTGCAAGAGAGACATTGAGGTGCTGGAGTGGGTCCAGAAAGGGGCAACGAAGCTGGTGAAGGGCCTGAAGCACAAGTCTGATGAGGAATGGCTGAGGGAACTGGGGGTGTTTAGCCTGGAGAGAAGGATGCTTGAGGGAGACCTTATTGCTCTCTACAACTACCTGAAAGGAGGTTGTAGTGAGGTGGGTGTTGGTCTCTCTTCTCAAGTAACAAGCAATAGGACAAGAGAAAACAGCTTCAAGTTGTGCCACAGGTCTGGATTGGAGATGAGGAAAAATTTCTTCACCGAAAGGCTTGTCTAGCATTGGAGCAGGCTGCCCGGGGAAGTAGTGGGGTCACATCCTGGAGATAATTAAAAGACATGTAGATGTGGTGCTTAGGGACAGCGTTTAGTGGTGGACTTGGCAGTGCTAGGTTAACAGTTGGACTCAATGATCTTCAAGGTCTTTTCCAACCTAAACCATTCTACGATTTGCTGATTCTTTACTTCACATTCAGTAGGACTCTGCTAGAGATGAAATTTGTTTGAAACTCCTAGCAAAGCAACAGGGATGTTGTTGGCCTACTCTCAATGCCCCAAGTGTCACATGTTCATGAAATTCCAGGAATATTTTTTTTTCTATCAATTTATTAACATCAAGGTTATTAAGTTCCAGAAGAAGTTTGTTCCACATCAAAGGTAGCAGAAGGCTGGTTTCTTTGCTCCTCTAGCAAGATGTTTCATTATGTATGAAATTTGCTCAAGAGTAAATTGCAGCTCTCTCACAGCTTGTCCAAAGATAAGCAGTGCATTTTAGTTATGAGTACCAGCTTACCACTTCCAAAGGAGATGCTTAATTAAAAAGTACTGACACTGCCAATGAGAGTAACTAGATGTCTGTGCGAGTCTTCCATAGTAATTTACAGATGCATTAACAATAGCCCTGTTCTGACTGGATATTTGTTGGTAATCATTACTGTGGTAGTCAGTAACTGTAGCTTTCTTAATTACAGGATTATCATTAAACATTACTAACAGAACTAAACATTGATTTTTGTTGGGGGCTTTTTTTCCTGTTATTTACAGTCATGCTAAGCCTCACCATCATCAATCTTTTTGTCACTAAATA